CAATATCAAATAGATTTTTCTAAGAAATAAATCATAATTGTGACATGACCCGGCGAGTTTTCCTTTGAAGTCAGCCGTACAATAACTGCGATACAGAACACTTTTAGTGGGCATTTCTTATGCAAATGAGCAGAAACTGTACTGTATCTGCAAAATATCAACGATACAGTACGGTTTATTTTTAGTGATGACGGAAAACTGAATCCGTATCTTAAATAATATAGATAAGAATCAATCAAATCGCATGATAGCGCTGTTAATATTTATTCAAAATTTGAAATGAATTAAGAGTAGAATTTTACAACCTAAAGTTACCAGTGGCGGATTCAAAAATTTTAGAAAGGAGGGAGTGGGGGCAGTACACAAAATAGTTTTCTTCCAAAAAGAAATGTCCAAACTGGAAAATCGGGGGTTTCGTGGGGGGGGGGGGGGTAGATTCATAATCAGGCTTGACACTATATGTGCGTGATCGTTTCGTGTTGATAAATTAAAAGTGTATACAAGTTAAGCAAACATAATTTACGAAAGTCAAAAAAAAATCAAAAGGGGGAGGGGATACCGACGCGCGCGAGTGAGTACTGGATCTGCCTTTGGTTCCTCAATATTTTGTTTCAAACATGAAGGTAATATGTCCCCTTTCTTACATCTGTTTATTTCAATTTGGAGCCAAGAATTTTGTATACACGTGTATGACAACCTGTCGATGACATTGTCGGACATTTCTCTAAGAATACAACCTCCCCGAAACATTTTTGCTTCAAATACATTCCCATATATGATTCTTATGTATCAAAATGTTTTGCACTAAATTCGTAGCTTAGATTTAAAAAAAAAGTCAGCAACAGCTAAATTGAAAGGAAAAAACCTACGCAATCAAATATAAATTAAATTTTGGGAAAACATATTATATAATGCATCTCATAATTATAATTATTTAAATTGATAGATACCTGCACGCCCACCTCTCTCGGCATTTCAGTTGCGATTGCTTAAAATGGGGTACTAAATCAACTTTCTGCAAAATCATCTGACTGGTTGAGAGATATATACCTAAATACACATGTAAATTAGCGAGGTCATAAGAAAGGTCATGTCAAAATCATTTAGAATACTCGTTTCCTACTGTATCGGAGATATCGGAGCTATCGCTCTCGCCTTAAGCCCCGCCCTGTATCTCCGATACAGTAGGAAACTCGTACTCTAAATATAACATAATTATATATATGTTGTCGTTATGAATCAATCACATGCAGATTAATTACTAGAATTTTTTCGGCGGGGGGGGGGGGTGTAAAAATTAATTGAAAGTTTTATATATCCAGTCAGTTAAATGCGATTGTTTCATAATATTCCTTGACTAGCTGAGTTTTTAAATGACAAATTTTTACGATGTGGCACACATTTAGATACATGTAAATATTGTTATGTGATGGTGTGTGTAGAATCCCCCCCCCCCCTCCCCCCATTTCTCGCGGCTTCTTTATCGTATGAAATTCTAATGTTATTGTTTTCAAATGTTATTGTATATGAAGTTTTACAATATAAAAATTCCATTCTGACCCCATGCCAGAGACTTGGATATGCTTATCCTTGTAAAGCTTTACAGATACACTGTAAAGTAATTAGGTCCCGGTAATATAAAATGACCCTGGCCCTCTTCCCCGGTCTCCTGCACTGCCACAAAAATAAAAACTTGCAAACATATAGTCTTTTGTGCAGTATATTTTTAGCATTTAATTTAATTTGTACAATGCATGTTTAAGTACAATTTTATCTTAACAAGATTTATTTCGATAAATCCAAATAACAAAATCAGCCCGTTTACACAATTCAACGGCAAGTTAAGCAATATCATACTAAACCGATAACTGAGATTATTATTTCAATAAGAAAACGAGTTTTATATTGATAATAGAACTGTAATGACATACAATGCTGAGATTCTATGAATGACAAGGATTACATATATTTGACTTTTAAGTGACTAAAAACTGCAGATAAAGCTAAAACCTTTGAATTTTTTTATGCACAACACGAGTACCAAAATGTTATATTTTCGAGTTACTGAAAATAAATAGACAGCAAAAGAAAAAAAAAAGAAGAGAGATTTCTTTTCATAATACGATATTGTTGTGTTTTTGAATATTCGCCTTTTCATTAAAGTTTCACATTTCACATTGTATTAATAAACTTGATTGAATATAACATCTCTCTCTCTCTCTCTCTCTCACACACACACACATCAGGTATACATACATGTAAACTTTTTTTAAGCTAGAACAATTAGAACAATTTTATTTCATTCGGTAGTTTTTGTTTGTTTTCAAGAACTTACATCGGAAGTGGCAACAACAAAAATAAGACGAAACAATTTTGTTTATTTCATCTTATTTTATTTAAATTTATGATCATTATTACTGAAAAAAAAATTAAGATTTAAGTTATTTTAAAAAATGATTTCATGTTAGAATAAATAGATGCACATGTAACAGATTAAAAAAAAAATGAAAGTCTGGTTCAATGTAGCATCTATTTCTTATTCTATATTTTTTTCTATTTCACTTTGACAGCAGCTAGTTCCATGAGCTTTCAAAAATACTTTTAAAGAAAATATAAATATAATACTTACAATTAAAACGTTTTTAACTGATGATAAGTAAGATTTTTAAAAATATTTTTTTATACCACGGGAGCAAATTTGTATGAGTATGTTGATTTTGAATTATGTTAAAAAAAAAGAAAGTCCCTCTCTGGTACCTCTCTAGTATCTTGCTTGTCAGAGTTACCTCTCTTGTTTTTATTTATAGTTCTTAAAAATAATACACGTCTGTTATTCGTTCGTACTTTTGCTAGATTTGTGAAAACTTACAAGAATACTTTTCTTTTCTGTTGGAAGAAGTGTGATCAGTTTCAAATTTTTGGCAATTAAAGCATTTTACAACAAAAATTTATGCACGATGTACCAATGCTTCAATGTTTACATGATCGATGTGTTGAGAATGGTGGGGCGGATCTTATACAGGAAAACGATTTCCTCTGCAATATTTTGATAATATACCCGTGTCTAACAAATAACTTCAATTTGTCTATATATCAAAATCGCATTCGTTCATCCATATTCAATTATCCAGAAAATCACCTTGTCTGAAGCTTCTATACATTATAGGAAATGCATAGCCCAGATCAGAGACGTATAAAGCTTAGCAATAACATGTAGTAAAGAAACGGGTCTCGAATAAAATTCTAAATATTTTAACATGTTTAATTAATATCAGTGGACTAGAAGATCAAGACCTGAATTAAAGATATAAATGAAAATAAATAATTATTTCAATGTTGAGAACAAGACGTGAGCTAGACGTGTCAAATCGTAAAACACGTGGATAAAAAAAATCTCCGTCGACGCTCACCGTCTGCAACGTCATATCTTTATGACGTTATTTCTCTGTTTTAACAAAATTGCCATAAGGCCCTTTTGTCATGGGCGCAATCATATATGTTCTTGTAGTTATATGTATATTGATTAAAACATTCATTTTCATTCATAAGTTCGATATTCCTACTGAACTCAGAACAAAATACATCACAAAGTTCGACACATCTGCTTACTATTTGGATGTTTTACTAGAGGAGACATTAATGGCAAACTAACAACTTAATTTAAGAAAAACTTTTCTACCGTCAATATTCCTAGATATGATGCATATACCACTTATACCTGCATATGCAGTTTTTGCCTCCCAGTTGATTTGATTCGCAAGAGAATGTCCTACATACGATGAATTTCTAAAAAGGACAGGTTATTGACAAATAAGTTGATGTTACAAGGGTATTAACAATCCCGTTTAAAATTAATTTTATGCCAATCTATATGCATAAAGTAGTGTAAATGACCTTGTTTGCAAAAATAATTTGTCTTTAAGACATTTTAATACAAATTGCTTGACTGTTATTTTCATACTATTTGTCTACGGATTATATTCCATTTATCCTAACAAGACAAAGGGCTTACGGTGTGTGTGAACGGTCGATAGGAGATGCTTACTCCTTCATGGTACCTGACCCTACTCCTGATGATTCCAGGGGTCTTTTTTCGCTCTGATCTTAATATGTAATATAAAATAAGATGTTTGATCTTTATTACTTGTAGTTGTCCTCAACCTTTCATATAATGGAATAAGGAATCAAATTTTTACATGAAAATAGATGTATTAGTTGAAAAAAAATCTTTAAAAATCTTCTTTTGAAGAGGAACATGGCCATAATAAGCAAATTCAATATAATGCAGGAAGTTAAGATTTGAATTTGCTCCAATTATAACCCAATGGGAATAGGGTTAAGTTACAACAGGGGATCAAAGTTTTTTTCTTCAGAATACATGTATATAGGAAAATATTTTTTAAAAAATCTTTTCAAGAGGAATATGGCTATGGTTTATGAATTCAATTTTACAAGTATCTTCAGGAAGTTCAGATTTAAGTTTGCTCATATCAAGACCTATGATGGATAAGAAAGGTTCACAACACGGGGTCAAAATTTTTTCATAGGAATATTTAGGGAAAAACGCTTATATGGGAATGTATAGGAAAAAATTCTCTTATGGGAAAATATAGGAAAACAAATCTTTATATCTCTTTCAGAATCAGCAGGGCAATGATTAGTGCTATTAATAAATATGCAAATATCCTCAAATTATCCACAGTTTATATCGTTTTTGCATAATATTCACATGCAATGCTTTTTTATGTCTTATAATATATCAAGTTTTATGTCTTATAATATCAAGTTATATCAAGTTTGTGCAAATCAAGGTTCCAGGTGCTACAATATGGGGTCAAACATTTCATAGAGGAAAACCATTTAAAATATTCTGTAAAAATATCGGTTCTTTTTCTTTTTTTTTTTTAGACTATACCTTTCCAAGTTCATATTGTTTAAGCATAATATTCACATGTCTTATCATGTAATGAAAACCAAAAAATAGAAACTTATTCCTTTATTTGAAGATTTAACAAACATACCATATTGATACAAATACGCTTTGAAATATAATTCATATAATTCATAGATGATAATAAAATAAATCCACTTATAAAAAGCCAGAAATGCCATCGTTCATTACAATATTTCATTTAACTTAAAGATTTTGAAACTCTATTTATTGCACCATTTCCCACTCCCAATCTATGTGTAATGTGTCACTGCATAAAACAAATACACACTTAAAAACCAAGCAACATGTGATATCACAGTCATCTTCATTTACATAAAAGGCACAAACTGAAACATTAACTTCAATAATAGTTTAACAATAAGGAGATGCATTGTCTCTATAACTACTTATAATAACTAATTATACATAAGTATGTTCAAGTGAATGTTAAAAAAAAGAAAGTATAAAAACTAAATAAATTTTAAAATTAAAATAAATGCAATGATTATTGAAAAATAGCTCATATATTTTGTAAAATGTATATGTGTGTCCAAAGATTTGATCACTTAAATGTGTCTTTAAGGATCCTCTCTATAGACTGATGAGAAAACTTTTTTGGACTTTGAGAAAATTTAAATGCGTAGATGAGTACTTATCAAAATTACCTACTTAATTTTACCCGGGAAAAATCTTCTTAGACAATAAAGTACCGATAAAGAAAAATCGCATTTGCTTACTAAAATCTGGAAAATACATAAAAACAGTTTTGAATTAATCTACCTTGGTCAAATATAATGATTAGAATGCTTGAATTAATCACAAATTATGTAATACAGTGCAATTTATACATGTAATTAAATGCAAATACAGCAAACTTTTTGGATTTCAACCTAGACAGTACCATCATAAAATGTTAAATTTTAGATACTAGTATCTAGCAAAGAGCAGTAGATTTACTGCATGATAAGTAACCAAACATTTAGGTTTAACAGAGCAGAAAACTGATCTGGCGTTTGACATATTGCTATTTAGGCTGTGAATGTACACGGAGAAGAAGGATAGTTGAGATTATCAAGGTTGAGATGTCCAAGGTTTCAAAAACATTTATACTAGTATTTATAGTAAATATCGTCGGGACCATGGAGGTACATCAACATATCTAGTGTTGAGATACCAAAGTTTGCCTGTAATTCAATAAAGATAACTCTGCAATGAGCTAGTCCTGAAAGCTTCGTTTGATGCTGCACCGTGGGAACTGTGCTGACCAGAGCGTTACGGCATCTACATCAACATTAGCGCAGAATGATATATCCAGGAACATCAACTTCTGACATTGGGTCAGGACACTGAAAGCATATTTCACGGATTATGGAACATATATAAAAGAGATGGTCAACGAATTGAAAATATTATGTACAACTTTGTTTCTAATCATGGTTTTTTTTAAGAAAAAAAAAACTGTGCCTTTTCTATTAGAATGTTTATACCTATAGATGTTCTTTAAACAACCTTTATTACAGAATTAATATCACAGTTTTGTACTCTAGTGGAAATGGTGTATAAAACCTGTTTGCAGTATTTGTTAAGAAATTCCGAATTTACATGCACCTATATGTGAGTCATGTATATTTCATTTACTTTTTATTAATATGAAATGATAGCATTGTATTTATTCACAAAGCATTTTTTGGTATATTCTATTCGTATATATTATGATGAGAATTTACATTATTACTGCTGATTAGTAATGTTGAGACTTTTGTTGCCTTACACTTAAAAGAATAAAATGTGATTTACGGAACTTAACTATTAACGTGTAAACTAAACTTTACCTGAAAACACTCTCTCGACTGACATTGCCTGTACCTAAAATGTCTAATTGTTCTAACTTTGGACAATACTTGCAAAAGGCTAAGAGATCTTCGTTGCAAATAGTCCTGTAACAAAGTAGGGAAAGTTAGAGGAAAATACTTGTTTTCCAGGTCTGCCAACAATCTGTTGGAATTCCTGTTGGTACTACTTGAGCTCCATTATTAGCAAATGTGTTTTAGTATTCAAATGAAGCAAAGTTTACCGTATATCAGGTTTTTTCCGCGTGTATCCAATTTACGCTTTGTTAGCGACGATTTCTGAATCGCGGAAAATAAATCAGCGTAAATTTCATTGACTGAATTTTTACATTAAAAATTAAAAGTTATACGTACAAATACTGTCCCTGTTCCAATTCCTTCATAGCTACGTTTAAACAATTGTGAATTTATACTTTCACTATATCTTTGAAATATGGAAAATTTGAATCGCTTAAATTAAATATACTGCTTCAGATTCTGATTCGCGGAAAAACATGACGCGGGAAAAACCTGATATACGGTATTAAACAAAATCTACTTGAAAAGAAGAAATCTCTTGGTTAAACCTTCAAATCGATATTTATATATCAACAATATTTTATAAATCAACAACAACCACTTTCACTTTTACGTTCCCTTTGAACTTGAAATAAAAGACACCACAGAGCTGAACACATCTGTTTCATATTTTGATATTTTACTAGTCGGAGAAAGATACTGATGGCAAACTAGTACCTAAACTTTATGATAATTGTGATGACTTAAACTTTTTAACTCATCAGCTTTCCTTATTTGTGAACCAAAGTACCATTATCACCTGCATATGGAGTTTATGTCTCCCAGTTGATTCAATACACAAGAGCATGTTCTACGTACAAATAATTTCTAAAACGAGGCAAGCTATTGACAAATAAATTGGTGATATCAAGTCTTGTTTGAAGTCAAAATTTCACAAATTCTAAGGTCGATAAAATGATCTAGTCAGCAAATACAATATATCGTTAAGTCAAATGTTGACTGACGTTTTCATTCAAAACGTTCCGCTATTATTTTTCTACTGAAATTATCTAGAGATTTTTCCGTTTACGATCATGACAAGGAGCACACAGCGGGTGTGATGGATCAACAGGTTGCTTACTCCTTCTTGGCACCTGATTCCATCTCTGATGTTTTAGAGGGCTCTCAGTATATTGTTTGAATAGACTTGAGCTTGTTTTTTTTTTATTTTGTTCATATTCTTCATATTTCATCGTTTTCTCTTTTCTTCTCACAATACCCATTTATAAAATTGAAACTAAGGGCAAATATCATATAACCCAAAGGGTATGACATCCTATAGGTAAATGGTCTACTCAATACAGTCGTGTTGTTTGTAAAAAAAAAAAAAGAAACATATTTTTAATCAATAATTTATTATTTGACAAAGTACTGAAATATTGAATATCAATAATTTTGAAGTATGACTCTTAAATAAAAAAAATATTATTTAAAGGGCCAAAATGAAAATTTCTATATTAAATGTGTCTGAAGATACACATACGTGTTAATGTATATGAATATTCTGAGTAAAATTTAGACCCTTTTGAAAACCTTTGAGAAACAGCTTTTCAACTCTTAAATAATAAATTTGTTTTTCAAAACATTAAGTTTTGATTTTTCTTCTACTGTGAAATCGGTAATTTTCATGAGGTCTAATTTTCATTATTTTCTTTGAATGAAGAAATTGATGAATCCATGCCCTCCATGAAATGTTAAAGTTTCAAACTACAGTTACATGATTGTCTATCATCGCTTCTTCAACCATAAATATTTACATCCACTGAATATTTTCTACTTCATTTCTAAAGAAAACCATTGCCGTTTATCAGTTCATGAACAACACTAGGCATATCACCTGTAAAGATTTTTTTATCAGTGGCTCTTCCATCAATGAAACGTACTATGGCGTGCATATGAATAATACAGTAATTAATCTTTATAACCCTATTTTAAATGATTGTTTATACAGATATAAATATAAACAATAAAATATCTTTCTTTGGTTGTTAGCACGGGAATTAACGTAGCTGCTATTGAAGAAAAAATTTACATAACCCACTTACACATTATTTTTCTGCAACAGCTGCGACATTAATTCCCGTACTAACAACCAAAGAAAGTATTTTATTGTTTAAAGCTAATCCCCATGAAAAAACATTTTTTTCATCAAAGCAAGAAAATTTCAATGGTTTCACAAAAATAAGTGATTGTACAGTATTTGACATATTCATACTCCTTTATATTGGCTACAAAGACTAGGACTTACCTATTAGCAGTTAGGTATAACTTCTTAATGTTGGGACACTTCTTTACAAGATCAATGAAACAGTAGGTACCTGCCTTCAAATTTGAACTGAAAAACAGAAATTTATATATAAAAACACATCTATCTGTTATTATTGACTTCTTAATAAAATTCAAAACTTGTCAAAAAGTTTTGATCTTTTTCTTCTTAAGATAGATAATAAAAAATTACAAAGATGCAATTGGATGAATAGTCAGGTTCAAATTTTTGGAGCAAGTTCATTCTAGCATAACTTTAAGCCCAACCTGAACCAGACTTGCATGGATGATGCATCTAGGGATGTACACTACAAGACATGGATTTGATGCACATTTTCTGGATGATTGACTACGTTGTATTTTGGAGCAGGTTTATTCTCAAGTAAATATAAGGCCTAAAATCATGAATGATAAGGCCTAAAACAATGTAGGTCAGATCCAGCATTCAAACCAAGTCCAGTATTGTTCATCCCTGTGCAGTTTAGTCACCAAAAATCATACTTCTAGAATGACCTTGCTCCAAAATCTGGTATCTGAAAAATTGCTCAGTTATTGGATTCCCTATGGTATCATCAAAGGAACCTTGCAACAGTTACTGTAGATTTATTGTGTTTTGTGGGGGGTTTGCTTTATGTAAATTTCTTCAATACCCCTTATCCACGAATTCAAATCCTTTACAAATAATATACTGTAGTATGTAGTTGAGGTCTTTTGTAAGAAGACATTTGCCAAGGAAATCGGGTTCACACTGCCAGCAATCCATGAAAACTGACCCCAACAAATTTAAATGATTCAAATAAGTCCATATTGGCAGAACAATATATACACCTCACTATCAGCCACCCTGCATTTAAACTTCTCTGCATGATAGTAAAGTTCTTAGAAATTAATATTAACATATTTTGATTGTGTACACATCAATTTCTACTACATGTATCTGGTTATTTTCAAATTACTTTCTACCCTCTGATTATGTTCACTTCACTAAATGCTATCTGGTTATGTACATATAACACTTACCACCAGCCTAGATCTAACTCCTCAATCTGTTTACAGTTCTCAGCAATATAGTCTAGTCCAGTCTCTGATATCCTACTCCTCCATAAGTCTAGAGAGATTAGTTTCCTAGAAAATACATAAGAAGTATTCTGTAACTGTGATTACTTTATTAAAAATCAAACTATTATAGTCTTAACATTTTTCTGTAGTAGATTGAGTAATGCATTTTTCTAGAGATGCATGATTTTATCGGTTTACCGTATATCACGATATGTATCCTGATGAAGAGACTATAATACCGGTACTTAGTAAGCAATGATTAATTCCGGATATAATTAATTCTCTTCAAACCTTTGGATTAAATTTACTGGAATTTTAAACAAAAAATATTATAAAACAGTAAAACAATGGCACCCTAGCATCCAAACATGCTTTATTAATATGCAAATAAAAATTGTAACAAGTAGAGTTATGTATTCACAATATATTTCTTTAAAAAATTTGGGAAATTCACTTGAAATCATAGTAAAAATTGCATGTAAAAATATAATGATACCATTTTGGGAAAAAATCATGATATATCGCGATTCAAAATTTACATTAATGAAAAAATGTTTTTGGATTTTGTAAAAATTATCTCATATAAAGGTGACTGAGCCCATCGTTTTCTTTTTCATTTTCAACAAGGGGAACCTGCCATTTACCTTCGGGAAAAATATTCAAAGACAACCTAGTATCGATAAACACAAATCACTGCTGCTTATTTAAACGGGTGAAAATATATGCAAATAAAAGTGTTCAATTAAGGTCAGACGATACGTTCCTCAAATATCTGTTTTGTATATCTTTGTATTGTATGGAAAATATTCGAAATTTTAATTACCTTCTGATTTCTAAACTGGTTAACATTTCTATTTGTCTTTAAAAAATTGAAACAGTAAAATATGCCACTGTTCATCAGAGTTGTGTAGCAGTGGTAGGCATGTTAGTCACAAGGGAAAATGATACTCAGGATTTTTATTGCTAGGGTTTGTACCCTAAGAATACCACATTATCTTTTTAGTAATAGTATAATTTTTGCCGAAAAAAATTTTCCTCAGAAGAGTTTTGTTTGTCATAATTTCAAAAATTTCAATATAGAGAACTTGAATCTATATACTATGCAGTTAATTTAAAAATTGAATATATTTTTTTTTATATATGGAGCTATAGGCATTCAGCCTGCCTTGTACACCCATCTCCTTTCAATATTATTCATTTCTTAAAATTTGACATTGTTGAAAAGGAAATTCAAGATACTTACTTGCAATGTTTCCCCAATATTTTCATAACAATATCTATATGCATTTCACCAATTCTTGTTGAACCTAAATTTAAATGTTTTAAATTTGGAGAAAGCCTGAAAAAAAAAAAAAAGCATTTAAAGAAAAACAACAAATGCCAATTATATGTATACTGTACATGGGCTTATTTTAGCTATAATAATTTGAAAATTTAGCACAAATGTCGTAGACTGAAGTTTGGCACAAACTCAGATTTGCACTTTCAGTATTTCTATTCATATCTAAAATAAAAATCATTTTTCAGTAGCGTTCATGAACAAGCAGTAGTGGAAAACATTGACTATAGAATTACTTCTATTGATTTTTAATGTCAGCATAAGCTGTATTTTGCATCATAGATATTGGTATACAATATGGATTAAGACATTCACATGTATATATTTTAACAACATTTATTTTGCTGAAATTCTTGCCTCAAGACTACTTCAATGCTGTCTCATTTTACCAGTAATCGGGACAGATTATGATATATAGAAAACACTCACTATACAATTATTCCCCCCAAGAATTGAATGTGTTAAACTATATCCTTGTCAGCAAATACAGCCTATCATTTAGTCATATGCTGGCTGACATTTTTCATACTAATTGTTAGGCCATTATTCACACACTGAATTGTTGACAGATTTTTTCATGACAAGGAGCACACGGTGGTATGACCAGTCGGCAGGGGATGCTCACTCCTCCATGGCACCTGATCCCACCTCTGATGTTTTTTGAGGTCCGTGTTTGCTCTGCTCCCGATTTGTATTGTTTTAATAGACTTAGAGCTTGAATACTGTTTGTTATCTCCATATTTCATCCTTTTCAGTTGTGTAGGAATAAAATATGGTTCAAGTTATTGAAATATTTGGTTGTCCTATTTACCTTAAGACTTCCATGAGACTGTATCTCTCTACTGGTAATCGATACAGATTAAGTCTCTCCAGTGTATGGATCCTAGAGAGGTGTGATATAGACTGTCCATCTAGAGACGGACAACTCCCTACATCTAACTCTACAATAGAAAAATATAACTTCTCTATTTCATATAAAGACTGACAACTGTCTACAACTAACTCTACAACAGGAAAGGTAATGCCAACATTACATCTAGAGATGGACAACTCCCTACATCTACCTCTAGATCTGCAACAGAAAAATATAACTGCTCTATTTCATATACAGACTGAAAAGTCCCTACATCTAACTCTGTATCAGAAAAGGTAATGCTAACATTATGTCTAGGGACTGACAAATGGCTACACCTAAGTCTATAATAGAAAAGGTAATTCCAACATTACATCTAGTAACTGACATCTCCCTACATGTACATCTGTCAGATAGCAATACAACAAGTCAGATTAACCTTGTAGAGAGAAAACATTACATGGAGGAAAATGTATAGGACTGGAAATGAAGAAGTGGCACATTGAAGAGAAGGAATCAATACAAAGATAAATGTCAATTGAGGAATTCGTATTGTGGTTTTATTTTATGATCATTGTCTTTTGCCGATATATTTTAGAATGACTGCTATTTATTAGTTAACTATATGCGAGTTAAAAAGCATCTGAAAAGCTCTATATACTGTAAATGTATTATATTTAGCCATTATGATACTGGTTATAGAACAAGTTAGGAATATTTGATTATAATAAGTACATTTCTTAATGTATATACATGTATTCATCTATATATGTGAAAGACATTTAGCAAATGCACTTGATTAAGCAGAAATGCTTTCCACTAAAGGTGATATAAATGGAATACATAACCAAATGTAATACAATTACAATAATTTAAACAGTACCAAAAATGATGTTTGTAATTCAAGTTTTACATTAAAAAGAAACCATTTCTTTTGATTTTCAAGTTTGTAATAAAAGTTTCATGACATGCATCTATAAATTCAAAAAAAAAAAAAAAATGAATTGCACACTTACATGTTCACTGCATTTTACTTTATACCTTTAAGTTTTGGACAATTTTCTGCCACAGCCTTTATAACTTCTCCATTCACAAATTTACATGAAGACATATAGAGAGTTTGAAGATCCCTGCCACATGCCACTAAAAATCTGAAATTCATGAAGAATACAATTATTACTGAAACTTAAAAAACAAATGAATCATGTTCATAAGTCATTGCTATTTATACAATGTACATTACAACTGTTGAGAACATTGTAACTTTGAAAACTGTTGATTTCACTTCTAAGTGGATTCATGGAAATATTTAATAAGATAATAAAGTGCCAGGTTCAAGAATGTTTATTATAGGGGTTTGTCTTGGAACACTTAAGTGATTATTATGTCACTCCAAACAAAGTTGGTCAACATTGTGTTATTGTTCCTCCTAATTTTGGAGATCTTCCAGATGGCTTAGACAATCTTAATACAACTTCACACTCTAAATGGCTATTTTTGCAATAGAAACACAGGAAAGTCATTTTGGGCTGGCATATACTATTGCTTGTAATAGCTTGTAATAGCAAAGTTTCTATATTTTTTTTTCACCTTGTTCTGAGACTCATCATGCACAATACAATTGTCTTAGTTTTTGTACACATTTCAGAATAAAATGCAGTAAATGATATGATATTCAGTGTATTGTCCTGAGTAAATTATGTTTACATGCCTGAAAAAGAATGTACATTCATTGATTTAGTTCAAGGGTAACATGCATTTTGTTGGACTCAAGAGCCAAACAGTTCACATAAGGCTGTTAAGACTTTTTTTTAGTATGGATTTAGGAAACAATTTTTAAAGGTAGAATACATAATACTGTATGTTCTTTGTAATGCCTATGTTTGCCTGGAAATATACTAGGCGATACTGCACAATTCAGTTTATTGTTCAAAGAGAAATATTTACCTTGAGAAAGTACCTGCAGATATAGACATCTGATTTCCTCCACACCAAGATATGTTTAAATGCTGGAGAAACTGACACCTTGACATTAAACTGTCTATTGCAAAGTTATTCACCTGAAAGTAAAGAGCTATGTTCACTTTATGCATAAAATGGCCCTGTATAATGACCAATTAATCAGTTGTCACACTATGTCCAAATTTAAACCTTAGGATAAAGTACACGTGTCATGATGCTTTCATATCATGCTAAAAAGTTCCTTCTCAAAGTCCATATATTGGAGAAAAAGCTTTGCAAACATGCAATGTCTTGAATCTTACAGAAAAATTGTGCACTTGAGTACATTCATACAGATTTTTGATATGAGCCTGATCCTCAATTCAGGAAATAAAATATGTACAATATATCTAAGTTTCTGTATACATGCAGTTCTGTAAGCTCAGAAGTTGGGCTGTATTCAAAATATTTTACAGGGCCAAATACATATATGACCCTTGGTAGACCTTATTAGGTCAGTATTGGCAGAGTTAAATCTCTACCAAAAGAAATTCTGATAACCTTGTCCACAAGATTGTACATTGATTTGCATCACATTGTCAGCTGGTATTAAGGTTTTGAAAAATATCTTCTTTTAACTTGACTTGAGCTACACATGCAGAATGGGGCAATAATTATCAAAGGACCTATTGTTAATGATCATTTCATGTTTATGCACTGGACTTTTTTAGTGATAAGCCAACCAGTTATATGGAAGTTAGCGACTGCTAAACCAGCTTTTATGACAGAACATACCGGTAGTTAATTCCATTCTAATTCATCAAATTGAATTTTCTATATTTTGTATTTTTGAAATCCTCCATTTGTATACTATCAAACTCAGTAGCAAATCAAAATATTTGTGACAAATATTGAACACTTCTGCCTGAAGTATCAAAGTATTAGCCAGTCAAAAAACTAAACAGCTGTACTGTAGATTCCTAATATTACATGAGGAATAATTTCATGAGAAGCACCACTCGTGAAATAAAATTAAATACATGTAACTCGCTTTTTATATTTCTTAAGTGCACATAAAAACTCTTGATTAACAATTAACTCTCAAATCCATATTCTCGCAATTTGACATCAGTCACTACGCGATATTAAGTACATGTGTAAAATAAGGTATCTACTATGTTAGAAAACTGTAGATCACCAAATTTATTGCGACACCTCATTTTCTTGAGATATTTTTTACATTTATACATGGAACAAAATTTTCACAAATTCAGCTTTTTGCTGTATACAATCTATTCTAATAAAAATATAAACAAGAATGCAATTTTCATGAGCAGATTGTCTTGTGTAATTATGCGTAAATAAAGTTCTCACGAATAAAACTTGATTTACAGTACGACACTTACTTCTGTCCAGTGTGGCTGTAAATCTAGCTCCTTATATTGAAGGGAATCATAACAATGCTTATAGAAAAACCTGAAATATACAATCAATAGAATCTCCTTGTATCCTTCTTTTCAAAGAATACAAAAATGTATAAAAAAAACATATCAATGACATTATAAAATGTAGGTTCTAAAAACTATTATGACATCTTTTGAGGTACAGTGTAATACTGGCTTATATGACTTATGTAGACATGAAATTGGCTTGTATGACTTAATTTTACATGATACTGACTTATGTACATGTAACTTACTTTGAAGAAACACTGAATTATATGTCTTACTTGGAGGTGATAATGACTCCTATAACTTACTTTGAGGTGATACAGGTTTTTAAACTGAGTACCTTACATGACTTACTTTGAGGTGACACTAGTTTATATGACTTACTTTGAGGTGATACTGGCTTATACATGTGTAGGACTTACTCTTAGGTGATGCTGGCATATAGATAACTTACTTTGAGGTGATACTGGCTTATAGGATTTACTCTTAGGTGATACTGGCTTATAGATAACTTACTTTGAGGTGATACTGGTTTACATGACTTACTTTGAGGTGACACTGGCTTAGATAACTTACTTTGAGGTGATATTGGCTTATAGGACTTACTTTGAGTTACTTGAGTACTTACATGTTATTAACTTACCATTGCCATTGGCTTAAATGACTTACTTTAAGGTGCTTATATAACTTACTTTTAGGAGACACTGGTTTATATGACTTACTTTAAGGTGACACTGACTTACATGACTTACTATGAGTTGACACTGGTTTATATAACTTTAGCTTGGAGGTGATCATGGCTATTGATTCAGACTTACATTGAGGTGATACTTTTTGAGTTATGTACTTTATATTACTTACTTTGAGGTTGCTTCTGGCCTACATGACTTATTTTGAAGTGATACTGGGATTTTTAAGTTGAGTACTTTTAAATTGACTTACTTTGAGGTGATACTGGCTTTACAGAGGGAAGGGATATCGAGGTAGCTTAATATTAACTGTATGACTTCTTCCTGAAAAAACAAATTCAATTTTTCAATATGGAGAAGCTGTATATGTTACTTTTCTTCATTTTGACAGATATAATTATATATTTGTATTTTCGAATATATCTCACATAAATTTCATTCTGAGGATGATATACTCAATATATAGCAATTTATCTTACTGGCAATTCTTCTATACTGAAAGTATTCCTTTCAACTGCAGTAGTTTTCTGAAATGAAAATTTATTTTTTCATGATACACAATCCATTCCTGATCACTAATTACTGATTTCTAACTTTTGCAATTGAGGAAACGTTCTATGCAAAAATATAATTTAAAAACTTGGTTTGCAGAAAAAAATATTTGTGATTAAAAGGTCACAGAACTAGCAGATATTTCTCAAATAAAAGTTGGTTTAGGTTGACAGGCATTACCTGTTCCCTGAGAGTGAAACTATGGAGTCTTTCCTCTAGTTGACTGATGCCCTTTGAACTTTCACTGGAGGCCATTTCCATGATGTATTTACCATGACAATCCTCGCCATGGAGATAGACAGCATCCAATTCAGTGTAGTAATCACACAGATCATGACAAACTTCTATCCGGATGACACTACATAAAAATTGGATTTCACATAATTCTGTGAATACAAACATTAATTTTTTTTCTGAACTCAGAAAGCTTGCCTTTGTGAAATTAATAATGATGCACAAGTTTCTTTTTTTATTCTTCATTGAATTACTGTAAATTCTGTAGAATTACATCAGCTGCTAATGTATGCATCGCATACAGAATTCACTGCAGTTTCTATTGTGCAAATATTTATCAAGCAAGTATATGTACAGTCAAACCTCATTATCTCAAACTTGATAGGACCAAGAAAATACTGTCTTTGAGATATCCAGGGTAAATACTTAAGGAATAAGCAGTTGGGACTTCCAAATCACTTCGACATATCCATGGTATTAGATATATCGGTGTTGAAGATACTGAAGTTCAACTGTATACATAATTCTCACAAGATAGTACTACAACTTAATTTAGAGATTTATAAATAATTAAACTGCAATTTATTTAACAGATTTGTGAACCAATTACATGAAAATTTGTGCATGCTTTTGTTAACATACATGTAACCTTATCACAATTTATAAGCAAGTTAAAAATAAATCTTACTTGGTAGGGAAATTGATCTCCCTGAGTTGTGGTGAGAAGATTCGAGAATCAGCTGGGGCTCTTTCAGGGGGGCCTTCCCATAACACTTTCCACCTGGTATACAAAGCAATTGCTCTAAAATCTTTTATGTCTAGTTTAACAGCTTGTCTGTTTGCAATTCTTCTCAAAGAATGAGAACAGATTTCAAGAATTTTAAGTAAAATTGGGTAGGAAAGGCTTGATTAAAATTTGAGGTAAATTATTGTGGATGTTGGATTTTTTTCAAAGAATGTTTTAATTTGCATTAAGATAGGACACTCTTATATCAGGACAAAAGGGAGATAACTGTGAGAATACAAATAACTGTAAGTGCATATGTACATATGTATGAATTTTATAATTAAGAACTATGAATGCTAACTCTCTGCCTACATTTTACACCCATTTCATTCAACATAATTGGCAATTTGGTCATTGAACTTTTTTGAATGAAAAAAGAGTACATTAGCAATTCATTAATAATAAGAATCAGTGTCAAGTAGTCACTTGCTCTTTTTATATGGGGGGAAGAAAATGATATTCATTAAAATCAGGTATTAAACATACCAGATTTTGTAATACTCGTGGATATGGACAAATGACCCTTAAATCTTTCCAAATGTTTAACTTACGTAAAATTAAGTGTATAAGGTTGATAAAGCTCAATTTTTTATATGTATGATGTCATTTGAAATTCATAATAAAATGGCTATTTTTTGCTTTTTTATGTCTATAAACATAGTTTATAATTCCCATATAAAAAATTTATAAAATAAAAATTTTACATTTCTGTGAATATAAACACAGAGGCACAAAATTTTATTTAAAAAATGACAATTTTTGCTGTTTCCCCCCTTTTCTTGGATAAACATATGTCCACCCACCCCCTTCCAGTTAATCAACAAAAGCTTTGGTATGAATCTGTTAAATAACAATTTATAATACATATAACATCAAAAAGGATTTTTTTTTTTGGTTTCACTGGGGAGGGGGTATGTTTTAAAAATATTTCCTATTTTCTGTCAACTTCTTTAGTGAAAAACACAACTTTTACCAAAATTATAGAGTTAACTCTTTTTGTTTAACCAAATAAGTTATGTTTTGTGAAAATTCACATGCATACAATGTATCTTAATATAATTTAATATATGAAAAATCGCTTAAATATGTTAATTTCTGAAAAATTCAATTGGAGGTAGGCAGACAGATCTGTAGCTTACTGGTCTTAAAACATTGGGATGGACAATCAGAGAGCTACTGTAACAGTGTCACCCATTGAAATTGTAGCTCTCCTCCAAAAAATATACTGACTGACCAGAGAGCTACAGTGCCAGTCCCACTGAAAAAATGTATATTTACTGTGCACAAAAAAGTGTGTTGTTCCTCAGTTTATTTCTCCACCCTATTGTATTCTTTTACTATTTCCACAACAAAACATTCCCCATAACTGTTGTTAATAGCCCTCCTTGGCCTGAAATTGAGACCATAGAAAATTTGGCCTATTTATACTACCATTTTGGGTGACAAGACAATGCGGTTCCAATGCACTTCATGCAGATTGATATAAACCATGAGAGTACATGTATTTGATAGTCATAAGAATTTTTTGAAATCAAGCTTTTGTGCAATTGAGGTAATAAATTGAAGAAATGAATTCATAACTGAGCGCAACTTTTTGTGTGCAATAAATATGCAGTTTTGTTTTTTCGATGGGTGGCACTGTAGCTCTCCTGTTTTCTATGTAAATTTTTTTTTCAGAGAGCTACAGTTCTGCAGCTAGGTAGCAGAACAATACTTTTGTTCACAGATCTTTTGATAAAACACATGTACAGCTAGAAAGTATACGCTCATTGATTATAACTGGTTCAATCAATGAACACATTTATTCAATAATCAATTGATTATATTGAAAAAGTTATTCTAAGATCTTGCTTGACGTGTTAATTTGTTAACTAATGTACCTGGCCATTCCTTTGTCCACATCAGTGCCTGAGGAATCACATGCGAGAATTCTGACAATAGTTCCTGGGTTATATGTCTCATAAATGTCAATTTTTGTGGGAAATACTTCATATTCAAATTCCAACTCTGGAAAAAGATGCAATGTTCTAAAATAATTTGTTTATAATAATTACGATCTGCTTGTTAAATGTTTAATGTTCGAAGCTTATAAAGATAGGGTACAATGTAGCTACATTGTATGCTTTTCTGGGGTCATAAAAGTTTAGACCCCAGTTACTTTAGTAACTTTACATATGTTAACAAAATCTTATAATGTGTTGCACAGTTAAATTACTCTATAAACACACGTGCATTTACATACATGTACAGTATATATATATAATCTAAAATCTAAATGTGTAGAAACTCAAAATTGGTATTTTAAATATAGATACATGGTTTGTTTCTCAGACTGTATATAATGATATCTACCAATATAATCCTGGCTAACAAAGTTTGGTGGTGTTCGCTTAAACTTCCGCCTTCCAGAAGGAGCATATTTCCACCATGGCCCATATGTTCTCTGTTGTCAAAAAAATCAAACTTATAAAAATGTATGCATTTTTAAAAATTTTTAAATGCTTTTATAGTTAATCATTTATTTCAAACAGTATCAATTTGTGTTAAACAATGTTTCTTCTTTCTGTTCGCAACACAAGAGTTAGCTGAGTTAGTAATACAGTTGAACTTTGTTATCTCAAACACTGATATCTCAAATAACAAATAACATGTATATCTCAAAAAATCAGATGGAAGTCCCTACTACTTTTTCTTTATGAATTATATCCTCAGTATCTCAAATACCTAAATATCCTAAAGTTTTCTTCTTGGTCTCATTGAGTTTGAGATAACAAGGTTTTACTGTATACTTATACAGTAAAACTTGGTTATAGCAAAGTCCTGGGGACCAGTGAATTTACTTCGCTATATCCATAATTCATAAAATGAATTCGTATAAGTATATATAGCGAATTCCCAATACACATTTTCCTTCAAGTATTACTACCGAATATGTTAGGGAAGCAATTATCATGATTATAATATTCAATTCAATTCAATTCAATTTATTGATTCACCAAACATGTTGGCATACAACCATGTTACAAACAAAATGAAAAATACAGTGTGTTTTCAGATTACTAAAACATATACTCAAGTACATACATACATGCAAGTGTACAAATCAGTGAAGTCAACTACTTTTACAACTTGAAGTTATACATAATCATTATGCAAATAGTATAAACAGTATAATATGGACAGAGATAAACTAATTAATGCATTAAATATATATTATTGTGCTCTATTTTTAGAACGCAATTCAAAACATTCATGTAAAAATTCGCATAGCCTTCTAGAATGAACTGCATTGTCAGGATTACAAAACATACCTTGGATAACTAAGGTTTTATTATGAATTGAATTTTATATACAAATCCTTAACAAAAATAAAGTCAGTTCAATACTTCAGATTTTTAGATCTTTGAAAATTCGTTATAAAAGATGTATTAATTACATTATTTTTTAATTTTTTTAAGAAGGCGGGGGGGGGGGGGGGTATATCCTTTTTCTTTTTAAATGCGTATTATTTTTATCCTAAGTTCTTCAATACTCACAAAGACACAGGCTTGTGTAAAATCCCCATAACCTGGGTAGATATTACATTTCCCAGCTAAGTTAGAAGCAGTATAGGAAATAGATGTCTCACTTCCATATTGAGAACTGAAGTCGGTGACTTCTAGAGCAAACTGAGAGTGGGGTTCCATAACAGGTTGATTGCGACTAAAAATTTCACAACAATCTCGCCACTGTCTGGGGATTTTCAGCGTCATTCATGCAAATTCATCTTTTTCCTGTAGGTTACGGATTTGTTTACAAACCTACTTTCTGTTTTCAGAAGATAGTAAGTTTAACAATAGTTTCGATTTATTTTTTCCCCATAGATGAGAAAGAAATTCTCCTAAATAAGATGATTTTTTTGTAATTTGGGTTTAAAAAATAAAAATCGCAATTCCAAGTTGTTTTACAAAAAACATAAAAATGTGAATAAATATTTTCAAAATACGAAACTAAATGTAAACTATGGGTCAGAAAATAGACCTATGCTGAAAGTCCACAGTGAGTTTCGGCGTTATCTAGGACGTTTTCTGAGTACCTCCAACGCCAACATGTCGGTGGGTTACAGCGTTCAGGGGTCGGTGGCTGTCTTAGAAGTGAACAATCCACCTGTCAACGCACTTAGGTAAGTAAAATATATGATGATCAAAATACACTGTGGTTTTCAATATGGATGTGGCAGATCAAATGAATAATCGACCTATTGATAAAAATTCAGATATAGGCCTAATTGTAATTACTGCATTGCTGCAGCGTCTTGCATTCAATGAAAATTGCCCCCCCCCCTTCCCCCGCCTCTTTTCAATTCCTAAACATTATGAACATTTACTATTGTTAAACATTGCTTGAAATAATTTATTTTAATTAAAAATTAGTATAATCAGGAACATTTATACTACATGTGGTATACTACTAGTTATTATAGGTCCCTGGTAAAATCTTCTAACATGTGTAAAGTAAAGGATCAAATATTCAAAGTTCTGACAACTGGAGTATGATACTTTTGAATATTTGTAGCCATGGTGTTCGGCTTGGTTTGAAGACGGGAGTGGAGCGAGCATCCAGAGACAGAAATGTCCGATCTGTGGTCATTATTGGTAAAGGCCAGACATTTCCAGCTGGTGCTGACATCAGGGAATTTGGCAAACCAAGTAAAGGTATCAAAAAGTATCAATATTATCTTTATGAATAGAGGAACTGTTGTATCTATAAAGTTATAGATATACTTGTATGATGGTCCTGCCGGTTTGATCGCCACTGGCCAGATAGCTCAGTAGCTCAGTTGGTAAAGCACCCTGATTCAGGGGTCCTGGGTGCAAATCCTGGTCTGGTCTGTTGCACATTTATACCTAGTTGTGAGCATGAAGTGTAGAATGAAATCAGCTTAGTCGGAAAATGAGACTGCATTGTAAATATATTCAGTATATTTTAACTTCATCATTTTCTGTAATCATCATGTGATATCATTAGCCTCTTTGCTGTACATGTATATGTTGTAGCTAAGTTGTAGCAGAAGCTAGAGAACTCATACTAACCTCAGGGAATTAAACATTATCCTGCCTCTGATAAAAATCTTGAAATTTCATTGGTTGAGAAGAATACTGTATTACGCTGCCTACCGACATTATATTGTTAATATGCCCCTTCCATGTGACCTACCCACCATGTATCAAATCAATATGCCCCCTCCACGTGCCATACTATCCAGATCATATTCAGTATGTTGTTTTCATTTGAACACGCACGGAGCCTAATAACTGACATTACATAAGCATCAAACTACGTCACAATTGTTATGGAACGGTTTGCTTAATTGAGAGAAAATGAACTTGATTAAAAAATCTTTGACAGGATAAATTCATTATTAGACGCTTAGAGGGGTAATACGGAAATATATGGGGTCCTTTAAAAAATGCATATTGGGCTCCACTTACACCTTGCCCAATACACATGTATGCATTTTTCAAGGACCCCATATATTTCTGTATTACCTCTCTAAGTGTCTACATAACTAATAATATGCCACCAGGATGTGTAGCAGTTATCAGCATTTTGTCCCTTTTTTTTATACAGAGCCCTGGTTGACAGATGTAGGAATAGTGATTGAGGCATCCCCTAAACCTGTGGTGGCAGCCATTCATGGTACCTGTTTGGGGGGTGGGCTGGAAGTAGCTCTCTTCTCACATTACCGTATAGCTGTACCCTCTGCAAGGTCAGTGATTCTATTTTTCTTTTATTGTAGCCCTAGCAAATATAGGATTTTTTTAAGACCTGTAGGGCCAAGGTGACTCAAGTGAGCATCGTGGCCTATGGGCCTCTTGCTTTTTGTTCAGAAAGGGATCAAATTAGTCTTGTGTATACATGTACGGTATGTCATTCTATCTGCACTATTCTTACCTGTATGTCCAAAGTTACTGACAGAGAACTCTGATGTATAAAATTCATGTCAGTGTTATAATTTTTTAAATGAGAAAGTTTTGAAGAGTTTAATTGACAGAAACATTGCACTTAAGGAACAATATGACTTTACCCAAGATCATTTAGGCAATTCTGAGGTCAACAGTAAAGTAAATTCATCTGAAGATAAAAATATTTGTAAAATATTTTCCAATAATTCCTTTCAGAGTAGGATTCCCAGAGGTAGCACTTGGGCTTTTACCAGGGGCAGGGGGAACCCAAAGGTTGTCAAGGCTGACGGGGTTACCTGTTGCTATGGATATGATTTCCTCAGGTCGCCATGTTCCTATTAAAAAAGCCAAGGAGTACGGGATCATTGATGAAGTATAAATAAATTGAATTTTACATTTTCTGAACAAAAACATCTTAATTTTCCTATATTCACATGTTAATACCAAGCAGAAATTCAAAATTCATTAAATAAATGCAAGGTTTGAATGTTGTTTGAGAGTGAATCACTAAAACTGTGATAGTTTTCTATTTTTAGATTGTGACAGGAGATTTAATGAAGGCAGCATTAAAGTATAGTCAATCAGTTCAAGGTCGTCCCTTCAAGGACAGATGTCTGAGGTTTAAGATGGTGCCCAATGCTGACAAAGTGGAGGAATACACTTCAGGTAAGTTAAATCAGAATTCATTAGCAATGGAGGAGATTTAAATCCATTATAAAAAGTATCAAATTATTGTTTTGTCTGCAATGTTTGAAATGAAATCTGTATGGCAGGTAAAGTGCCAAATAATTAATACAAATACATTGTTTTAATTGGAATATGTTCTTTTGCAGTGGCCATGGCTCAAGTCAAGAAAAAATACAAAGGATATGAAGCCCCAGTGGTAAAACATTTAATACTAAGAGACAACATCCTTACTTAAACTATGTTTATAAAATGTTATCCGATATTTTGAGATATACATTTCTCGCATAATCACCAGTGTAAGATTGACTTGTCCGGTGTGAGACAGCAGTGTGAGATTTTTCTGTCTTACACTGTGTATTACTACGCCGCAAACGATAACGTAAACATTCCGTCTTTATATAAAGAAATTGTAACAATGTTAAAAAATATTACATATACTTAAAATGTTGTCATTTAACTTATTAAGATAAACTTATTTGCATTCAAAATATTGTCGTATTTTCACTTTTAAAATGGCACTATTTTTAGATTTTCGTGAATGAATGTGTACGCTATCGGATAGATAAGTTTTTTATTCCCAGTTTTTATCTATCTAATTAATTTACATGGATTGAAATTCATTTTATCAGTTTACCTCTCCGATGGTGTATTTAGATTTTTAATTAGATGGAAAATTAAAAGAATATATTTTTAGCCCTATCATGGCGACGTCATTGACAGGCCGTTATTTTAGATAAAATAATGCGAGAAAAATAATCATTCATTACATACTTGTGTGGGAATAGTGAAATTCCACCTCGGGGCCAAGATTCACGGTCTAGGACTCGGCAAAGCCTCGTCCTAGACCGTGAATCTTGTCCCCTTGGTGGAATTTCACTATCCCACACTCGTAGTAATGAATGATTCTATTAATATACCCTTGATATAAATTGTCAATGAGACAGTTTTTTTCCTATTGTTTAGGCCTGTGTACAGGCAGTGAGGGCCTCGGCAGAACTTCCATATGAGGAGGGAATGAAGTTAGAGAGGGAGCTCTTTATACAGCTACAAGGCTCGGGGCAGGCCAGGGCCCAACAGTACGCTTTCTTTGCCGAGAGAGCTGTGTCCAGGGTAAGACAATATACAGGAAAGCTTCATTTTACTGCGTTAAGGAAGTGTGATCCTCAGGTTCTGGAAATCGGCAGTTAAGTAATTGAAAATGTATACAAAAAAAATGTCACAGAATTTACAAAGTAACATATTTACCCATATGCTATTTCTTCATAGTTCATCATTTTATTGTTAAGCATATAAAATAGGATAAATGATCAAATCTCAGATATTAAGGAATTAATACTGATTTTAAAGAGTTGTTGTTCCTGGCAGAGGAGAAGACATCCTTAATATCATTAGAGATCTTTCTTCAAAGTTCAGTATTTTCCTATTGTTTAGGCCTGTGTGCAGGCATTATGGCCTCGGCAGAACTTCTGTACAAGGAGGAGATGCTGAAAGAGCTATATCCATATTATTTTAGGAAGAAAAAAAATCCCAGATATTGTTGTGTGATTCAATGAAGTTTAGCATTATTCGAATAAGATTTATATTCACTTTTATATTCATATCAAACAACTTCTGACAAAAATATACATGAACCTAGCCTAATTAATATATTTCTTTATAATTTCAGTGGATGATGCCTGGGGGTAGTTATAAGACAGCTAAGCCCCTCCCCGTAAGGAGTACAGCTGTGATTGGGGCGGGTACAATGGGGTCAGGGATAGCCGTCTGTCTACTGAGTGCAGGTCTTCCTGTGTATCTACTGGAACAGAATGAAAAGGTCTGTATAATCTTGATTCTTGTATTTTGAAAAATGGTGCTTTCTGTAATAAACATATCATCAGGGACCTATATAGTACATGTACTAATATAGTAGTATAGTTAATATATAGGTTCCTGACATTACTGTGTCCCTTCATTGTATTTTTTTGAGAAATGGAATGTGTATACAATAGTTTTAAGAGTTGACAAAGGCACTTACATGACTAGTATTTGTTGTACATCTTTCTCTGTTTGCTTTTTAAACATTATAATGTACATTATCCACATGTCTATAGGTACAATGTATGTGTGCTAAATGATTCCAGGCGAAGGGGCCATAAAACTTAGATGAACTCACTTTTGATCTCGGTCTCACTTTTCCATTATTTATTCATTTGGAAAGCTAAGACAGAACAAAAGTGAGCTTATCTAAATTTTATGGCTCCGGAGTCAGAGCCTTGGATATACATTTATTTTCATTATTCTTCTCTTTAATAATTATTTAACTCTTATGAAATTGATTTACAGTTTCTGAACAATGGAGTGAAGCTGATAGAGAATATCATGTCTGGTAGTGTGAAGCTTGGAAAGGTTTCCATGGAAACGGCTAAAAAGGCATCCACTTTGCTGAAACCGACACTGAATTACAGTGATCTTAAGGATGTAGACCTGGTAAACCATACACAGTCTAAATGATAAAGTGAAGAACTTTTACTATTTTTTTTATCATAGAGTTAAGAAATATCAAATTCAAATTATGAAAAATACACATGTACAATGTCATGTGACATACATCATCACAGTAAAATATTAATGTCCTGTGACATACATATACATGTACAGTGTCCTGTGAAAATGCATGTACAATGTCATGTGACATACATGTACAATGTCATATGACATACATGTACAATGTCATGTGACATGCATGTACAATGTCATGTGACATACATTTTTCAGTATTGATTTATTTAAGATGTTTTTCTTTAGGTTAATTTAACTCTGCATTTTATATGTATCTGTAAATAAACTAAATTTTCATCCATGTACACGTAGCAATGGCTCAATCACTTATGATTTTATTTTGCTTTTAACATTTGCTAATAAATTATGGAGTTAATCATGAAAATTTCCTTCAACTCATGTTAATTAATTGGCTTATGAAAAGTTTTCACATTTGTAAGATATAAAATTTAAAGTGGAAAAGAAAATATCAGTCTATATTCTAAAATATATATTTCTATTCTTTAGTATAAATGTGAATAGTTTACATTTGATTTTAATTGTTTAAAAAGGCAACTGTACAATATGAATTTACGATATACATTGAAGATTCTCCTATTTTATACAAAGGTGATAGAGGCAGTGTTTGAGAATTTAGATTTAAAGAAAGATGTGTTCTCCAAGTTAGACAAACTCTGTAAACCATCAGCCATTCTGTGTACCAACACATCTACGATAGACATTGATAGGGTAAGTATCGAACTTCACTGACCTTGACCTCTCATGTATTGTGACCTTATTATATTTAACTGGTGTTCTTTTTGACGAAATAATTGTTTTCATGTGGAAAGCTTTGAGCCCTAGAGCAAGGAAGTTGAAATCAGAAATGCTACTTGTACCTTGCAGGAAAAATTGAACTTTAAAATTAGCATCGACTTGTTTAATCTTTTTAATTATTTCGCTCTTCATATTCAAGTTATCTGGATTACAAAATATAACAATTTTTCAATTGCACATTAGGTATGCTTTAAGTTAGAAAAAAACCCACACATTTAGTAGCATTTTTGAAGATATATAATTACTACACTTTTCATATTTACACTGTGAAACATACTGTACATGTAGATATCCACAGCGACCTCTCGGCCGGATAAAGTCGTGGGGACACATTTCTTTGCCCCGGCTTATCACATGAGACTGCTGGAGAATATATATGGAACTAAAACATCACCGGACACTGTAGCTACTGTTATGAAGCTGGGGAAAACCATCAACAAGGTGAAGATAAATCATCCTTCTCTCTTCCTTATCCAAAACACCCAAAAATTCAAAACATGGACAAGAAATTAATCTGTCATTGATTGATTGATTGTATGTTTTATGTCCCATTTTTTCACTCTTAAAGAGAACCATATACTGGTGAAGGGCTTCAATTTTAGACCTTAATTTACATGGCACTAACAGGCCATTGAGCAATGAGTAATCTTTATTGTGCCATTTCCTGCCGTGACACTGCAACTGGCTGGTGCCTGGGTTTTTAAGGTCTCATTCAAAAGACCATTAACTTTCACTTCTAACTGCCAAGCACTTGGCGAAGGATCAGTTCCTATTTATTTTTAATCAACTTAGGTCAGTCATGACTGGGTTTCGAATCCACAACCTTTCGATCCTGGAACATTATCTGAAATTAGAGTCCCAGATATTAAAAATATATAATAGCAGAAGTGATGATATTAAAAATCATCGAAAATTTTGGAAATTTATTTTAATATTTCGTTTGTTTCATGATTATATTCTCTATTTAAACAGGTTCCAGTTTTGGTGAAGAGTTGCCATGGTTTCTTGGCCAACAGAATGAATTCCCCCTTTAACACTGAGGTTTGTATAAATTACTCATTGACAAGGAATGCCTTACCGGTATATTGACTTGTCTTTTCTACTGGCCCTTGTTTCTGTTGTTACAGTAATAAATGAAAACCAAAAAAATGGCAAAGACAAACTCTGTGTAGAATTACAGAAATGTAGACTTATCAACTAATGTCAATAATGTTTCTGGTGCCGTGGATTTTCCAGTCTTTATTTTTGGTGGAAGAGGGTGCTAGCCCACAGGAAATAGATCAGGTGAATGAAGATTTCGGAATGCCAATGGGGCCCTTCAAGGTCCGCGATTTATCAGGTACATTTATTATCCACTGGATAATGAAACACACCAAAACATGATCACATATTGTATATTTTATTTGTCTGTGAAGTGGATCATACAAATAAACACTCACTCTCTAAGTAAACATGATACATGTATTTACAATGTACAAAAGATTTTTTTTTCATATACCGTACATGTATAAGCAGAATTTTTAGCAAGGATTTAATTTTGGCATTATTAGCGAGGGTTTTGAGATCACTAAAATTAAATACCAGTAAAAAAAAATCCATATTAGTTGTTATAGATATCTTTCTTGACATCTTAACTTAAGACATTTCTTTCTTAAGTTATAAAATTGCTAAAATTATTTATCGCTAAAAATATGAACCTGTTTTTTGGGATAATTTCGCTGAAGAACAAAGACCATGTTTAGTCAAAATCGGCCTAATGTCAAAAGTGAAATATATCACAATTTATAGACTTTTAAATATGTTTTTTTCATCATTGTAAACTTATTTTTCGTTTTTATTATTGAGAAAACGCTCAATTTGAAGTTTATATTAAAGGAGTATAACGAGTGATTAAGCGTAATTTGCGATGTAAAGTACTTGTGTTATATGACGTCAACCTATAGACAACTGCAGATAGGGTGTTATTGAACTTTAGTTTTAATTTAAAAATCGTGGTTTATTTTAAATTATGAAAATGAAATGAAATACGAAATTACAGAGAAACAAATCATAACACACACAGCACACCATAGTTCAAAATCGGTCGGCCATTGTGACACAATTCTGAATGATGTCAGACAAACCCGCTCGGAAGATTGCAGAGGACTTGTTCATCGCCTTTGTTACGTAAGTAATGTTTAACATTCCTTTGTTGTTGCTTTTTCTTGTTTTCTTTTCTTTTCTTTTTTTGAAATATCTTCAGAAGCTGCTACAAACTTTTTGTTAAAAATTGACTAAAATCAAGTCACATGTGCGGCACATGTAATGTGTCTACCAGCTGTCTACTGTTTTACAAGTAGGCCTTATTTGTTTTTAAAAACCACAAAGTGCAGGTTGAAAAAGCAAACAAACACAGTTGATCGTGGTTACCAAAAGGATTTTTAATATGTTTCGTAAAATATATGTATGTATTACCATGCTCAGTAGAAGTATGTCATAAATGTCATAAATCATGTTTACCGTCATATCAGCTGTTCAGTAGAATCAGCTGTTCGTAGCCATGCTATCTCAACAAACAGTTGCAACATGTGTAGAGACATCAGAACCAGTTTTAATCCCTAGTGAAGTAATTAAGACTCTTTCTATTCAGGGTATTCACTATACAAAGCAGACCAGGATTCAAAATGACTTGGATTTTTTTGAGGTACATGTACCTGCTTACTACAATTTAACAGTAGTTCTGACATCTCGCATATATTTGTAATTGTTCATCTGGTATACATTTTTCACTAGCCTAACTGTAATAACAATAACAATACCTGTTATTAATTAAAAGTTCTTGTAAATATTGCCAATTTATGCATTTTGTCATGTACACTGTTAATGTACCTACGAAACTATTCCTGCTTAGTTTTCATGTTCATTTAGCTTACAGTCTTTTCTTGTACATAAATGTACATACAAACTGTGTAACATACATATAAAAGAGTCTTTATTATTGTATGTACATGTTTATCTGGTAGCTCCTTACTAACTAAACTGTTAACATGTACCACCTGCTTAGATCTTATGATATACATGCTTATACCTGTATACAGTCTTTAACTTGCTAAACTGTTACATGTACAGTAACATTCAAATTAGGCAATAAGTAGATTAATGAATATAAATAGATAACGATAATGATTGACAAAGGTCTTAGACATTAGGCATGTTACTAAACAGCTTTGTGAATGAAGAATCAGTTGGAGTACATAAAACAGGGAATTATTTAATCTTAGACTAATTATAAATCCTGGATTTTCATAAAATTTTAAAATCAGGTGTAGTGCCTGAAGACTAACTTAGTTTTGCTTGAAATATCAGTCTTCACTGTAGTAGATACTGTCTAAATGGGTAAGTGTGTATATAAGAAGCTAATATAATTGAATTATTGTTTATTTTTATTCATTCATGTTTTTATTGTGTTCCAATTTCATATTTTTATTGTTTATTTTCAGTCATAATTATCATTTCTAGGGTAAATGTCTTTTATGCAGTGTATCTGGTGTTCTACTGTTGTATCTGTAGAAAATGACGCATGCGCAGATGGGGGTTAGTCGATGCTTGGCATCAAAAAACGACTAACCCCCATCTGCGCATGCGTCATTATTTTCTCGCTAAATTCTGCAGTTTTCTGCAATAAAACGGCGATATTAAAATAATCCATCGAATTTCCGTCATTATATTATGCTACGACTCCACTGTTATCGCAAAACGTTCCTTCCGAGTTGTAGATATCCGTTAAACATTGCCAACAACGCACGGCTTCATAGTCCCCATGAACGAAGACCCGACTGAAGAAATGACTCGCAGCAAACGAAAATACATACCGGTGCGTATTCAGCACGACAATTGCAAACACCTACATATGTTTTCACAACCGTAACAACTTTTAAATCCAACGAAACGCCCAGAAAAACGCAGCGATGTAAACACTACCAAATTTACAGCAGCTTCCTAATGCAGACAACCACTACTCGACGTCACAGTCGTAAAATACGACGTCACAGGTACACTGTTTTCCCGAACTTTTCTAATGCAAAATGGCGATTAAGCATTGTACGTAATATAAGGCATACTGTCTTTGTTGTTCAGCACACGTACTTTTAATTGTTTGTAAAAAGTTCTCCTTTAACCAGGTAACTGAATATCACAAGAGGAAAGGAAACTGGAATGTCTTAAGTACAGAAATCGGTCTTTGAAATTTGAAGATCCATGATCCGCCCACTTGTTTCACCTCCAGCTAAGAGGTGCATATTTAGTGTGCAAATCGAGAGTTTTCAAGCCATTGTGACGTCACCCTCAATAGTTTGTAACAGAACAGTGAAATCTCACACATGAATCAATAAAAAAATAATAATAAAGAGTTAAACTGTGGAAAACATTAGTTTGAAGTCTTGTGTACTATAAACAAATTCCCAAGCCTGTGTGACATTACTCTTAAACTTGCAATGACGGGGAACAGACAAAAATACTGCGTCATAGATATAATAATAATAGTATAAAAATACACCAGTCAGATTAACAGATTAATCCACCCTATGTCCTCTTTTCTTGTACTTTACAAACGTGGTTTTTTTTTTTTAGACAGAATACCCCCCCCCCCACCCCCCACCCCTGGCGAAAAACGGATCGAGTATTTTTTTTTTTTTTTTTTTTTAAATTTTCATCATCAATATATATTTGTACTGGCTCAAAAAAAATTGAACAAGTTAAATTGATGCAAAACATCAAATAGACCTCAAAACTATATAAGGCCAAAGGATATAAAGCATTCTGAAGTATTTCCAAAAGAAAGAGTAAAAAAAATGCATTTATGGCAGAATCTTAGAGAGGTGGATCTAAAAAAAACTTAAATATTTTCTTCAGTCGCATGTCTGATGCACCTTGGAATTAAGTTGGTTTTTTTTTTTATTATAGCCTTAAAATATATCTGAATCTAGGGAGAATCCACAGTGTGCAAGTCTTTCTAAGACACTGCGAGTTACCCCATACCCTGCATATTTCACTTGCCCATTGAGGAGAATGTAAACATGGCCTATTTACACCCTTCTTACGTTCAAAGGCAACATTCTCAATATTCTAAATTTTAATTCTTTTCCCCAGATACTCTCCTTCCTATCTATGCCCTAAAATTAGTCCATTCCACCCCGTTCTCATCCTAAGACATATGGGGGGGGGGGCTGCGCTTTGCGTGGTCAATGAAATGGAGTAAAATTAGTAACCTGTGGCATAGTTATACTTTCTAAAATCAAATTAAGGGTTAGATACAAATTCCAACATTTATTTTAATTTCCTATTTATTTAACTTTGTTTATTGTTACTCGTTTATTTTCTATAATATGTTTCAATTTAAATGTATTATCATAATTATTATTGAGCACACAAAATATTGAAATTATGCCTACCCCCCACCCCTGAAAAAAATTTAAAGGCGTCATGTTGTTCTCTAAAAATAAAATTTAAAGCTTTAATCTTAAATCTGTAAAAGTTTTGGATCCTTACTGCTGACATCATTGTCTCGGATAATGTAAAGATAAGTGTAAGCCAGCGTTAATTGCGCTTTGATTGAATTCAGTCTACATACAGCTACACCAGAGAAAATCCACAGAATTTCTTCCCATGTAGAAAAGTACATCTTTGTGATAGATTTTTACTCTTGTTCGACTTTTTGTGTGTATTTTTTATCCCCTCGCAATGGAGTTGCGTGTTTGTGGGTGAGTGAGATAGTTCTGTGCGAAACGAAAGTGACGTAATTTGCATTCGGATCGATGTCGGATGCTGCCTTGCCTTATGGATAATAAATTGCGCAGCTCGATCACTAGCGCTTCATGAAAAATATGCCTACGTGCAAGTCTGCAAGTCCTACGTGCATTTTACAAGTTTAAAAGAACCATTGATATACTCAATATCTAAATTTCTTACTGCCCTATATCGTTACATTTTTATTAATGTTTCTGTAGCCTCATTGTGACGCCACTTTAGCGCGAGTTTCACCGTGTATATTTCTACGCGTGAGTACATGTATGTATACACAAAAATGACTTTCAAATCAATTTCACAGTTGACTTAGTAGAAAAACACAGCAAATGTAAATATTATATTATAGTATGCTGCTAATCTATTATTGTTATCATTTTCTTTAGCTTCATGTGGTTTTCTACCCTCTCAATATTTTTGTCTCAGTTTCAGACTATCTTATTTGTGGTATTGTAATCTTCCATTAAAACCTACATGTTAGATATAACATGGTTAATATTCTACCATATTACGATATTTTAATATTATTTAATTAAATATGATCTTACTGTAATAATT